AACCAAATCCCATCCTTGGGCAGCCAAGGAGGGATTTTTGGGATCTCTGGGGCTGGAATGTGCCCCTGGAGCTGTGCCATGCCCCAGGTCTGGTTTTGGGGGTGACCCCGAGCAGATCTGATCCTTTTCCCACAATTTTTGGAGCAGGAAAATGCAGGATCCCCCCTCGGGGTGCCGCGTGTGCCTTGTGGGAAGGATCCCGGTGTGAAATGAGCTTTTTGCTGCTTTTTTTGTGTGTCTTAACCCGAATTAAATCCCTCCACCAAAGGCTCCCTGTGCCTTAAAACGGGAAAATCCCGCCGGATTCTCCCGGATTTGCTGGGATTGGAGCAATCAGAGCTGGAATTGCTCCTCGAGAAACTGGAGAGTCACTCCCAGAGCCAGAACAGCCGGGAGAATTCCCGAGGAGAGGGAATTTGGGGAATTTAATGCTGAAGAGCCAAAATGTGGGAGAATTCCAGCTTTTGGTGCAGCCTCTGGAATTCCTCCTCTTCTTACGGATTCTCCTTGGATATTTCTGCCTTGGGAGAAGCTGAGCTCCTCCTTGGAGTAACCTTGGAGTAACCTTGGAGTAACCTTGGAGTAGGGACTGGCAAGGGGATTTTGGGAATCCCAGGAGAGGGGGAGATCCTGAGGGATGGGAACAGAAATGATCAGCCAGGATCTGTTGGGAATTCTCTCCTCCTCCGGCTGGGAGTGGGGAAATCCCTCCTGGAAAAAGGAAAATCCCTTCTGGAAAAAGGAAAATTCCTTCTGGAAAAAGGAAAATCCCTCCTGGAAAAAGGAAAATCCCTTCTGGAAAAAGGAAAATCCCTCCTGGAAAAGGAAAATCCCTCCTGGAAAAAGGGAAATCTCTCCTGGGAAAAGGAAAATCCCTTCTGGAAAAGGAAAATCCCTCCTGGGAAAGGAAAATCCCTTCTGGAAAAAGGAAAATTCCTTCTGGAAAAAGGAAAATCCTTTCACGGAGGAGGGAAATCCATTCTGGAAAAATGAAAATCCCTTCTGGAAAAAGGAAAATCCCTTCTGGAAAATGAAAATCCCTTCTGGATAAAGGAAAATCCCTTTTGGAGAAAGGAAAATCCTTTCTAGGAGGAGGGAATCCCATCCTGAGAAGAGAAAAATCCATTCTGGAAAAATGAAAATCCCTTCTGGAAGGAGGAAAATCCTTTCTGGGAGGAGGGAAATCCGTTCTGGAAAAAGGAAAATCCTTCTGGAAAAATAAAAATAATTTCTGGGAGGAGGGAAATCCTTCTGGAAAAAGGAAAATTCCTCCTGGAAAAAGGAAAATTCCTCCTGGGAAAAGGAAAATCCTTTCTGGAAAAAGGAAAATTCCTCCTGGGAAAAGGAAAATCCCTTCTTGGAGGAGGGAAATCCATTTTGGGAGGAGGGAAATCCACTCGGATGCTCCTGGGTATCCCAAAATCCCAGCCCAGTTCCCGTCATTCCAGAGGTCTCACCTGCAGCAGGAATATTTTTTATTTCCAATTTCCCAGCTGCTGGCGCTGGCTCTGCAGGGAAATCCCTTCCCAAATCCCTCCCCCATCCCAAAAATCCCTGCCGAGTTTGCCTTTGGAAGCTGTGCTGCAATTCTGAGCTGAAATCCTGGATTTTAGCGATTTTAGCGATTTTAGCGATTTTAG